AGTCCATGAGACTGACTTTCCGACACGATCGCAGTCGTGTGATTTTACAGACAGTAATGTATAGTCGATACGTGGTAAATTGTTCTTATCAGAAAGTATATACACGTACCTTTTCTCGTAATATGCTTCAGATAAGAGATTGACCATTTTCGAATTCTCTGCTTATCGGTGCACAAATTGACGAAACTGTCCATTGGCTAAATATTGGATTACCTCTTATCGATAGTGTCCTTATTGGAACCACTTGTAAAAACTGATATGATACGATACCTCGAATGATTATCATTACAATAACAATTGTTATTTTAACTAAAATTTTAATTTTATACAGAACATACTTGATAGAAGAAACGCTTTACTGTTTTTCTCTACCCAACAAACGATTCATAAGAATTTCTCCTTTGAACTTTATTCTAAACGGAAGATGCAAAAAATTTGTTAAATTTTGAGCCTTGTCTCCTAAATTATAAAAAAAAAATTTGTAATTAACACAATCGACTTAATTTTTTAAAGCAGTTTAAATTAATTAGCCATTAAATTAAACTCACCAGAAAGTATCGACAAACAACTATATCACCTTAAAAAATTATACCATCGATTAGAACAGCACAATATGACCATCAATTTTCAAAAATCTCATTTTTTTGATCCGAAACTAAATTTTTTAGGTCATATATTTTTTCTACAAATGGAATAAAACCAGATCCAGATAAAATAAAAGCGATTCATGATTTTCCTCAACCGAGAGATTTAAAAGAATTAAGAGAATTTTTAGGCTTAATTAGCTTTTATAGGAATGTTTCCAACTATTTCGTGAACCTAAACAAATGTTACTCTTTTATTTTTTTTCTTAATATTGAGAGAACAGGTATTGAGGTTTAATTGTTATATATGTCGAATATAGCGGTTGATGAGATGATTATAAATGCTGATGATGGAACAATCAACCGCAAGGTAGGCTCCAGTAACTCCATTGGTGTTAATCGATTTTATACCGTAACGCTCTAAACTAAAGTGATAGCTTTGCCAATCAATTATTACTACCAAATATTGTAACATGTAACTACAATAATTAAAATCACTGCATTTTGAATCGTAAACATAAAATGACGCGATCGTTGTTCATCAGTTGTAAATTTTATTACCAAATTTGAAAACGAAATAAAATAAAAAGATAAAAATATTTCCGATGAAACGCAAATAACAGTTCTTTTTAGTTTGGAATAAAATGTCGAAATACGACGATATGGAGAATTAGAAAAAATAGTATTTAAAAAAAGTAATATTTAAAAAAAAATAATATTTGAATCTCTTATTTAGTTCAATTTGATTTTTAATCCTCTATTTAATTTGATTTAATTTTTAATCTTTTATTTATTTTGTTTTAATTTTTAATCTTCAGGTATATGCTTTTTAAAATGAATTTGATTTATTAAAATCTTTTCTTTGTTTAATTTTAAAACTATGCTTTGAAAAGAAACTATTATTGTGGAAATATATTCTCTTTGAGAAAAAAGTCATTTACAAGGGTAAATTTACCACCTGTCAGATTAATTCAGTAAGAAAAGAAAGAGACTTTTCTTTTTAGAGTCCGCAGTTAGAAATAGAATTCATTGCCTCAAGGTAAACTCGATTGGTAAACAAATACGTATATACAACCCTTGTTTCTTAACTAGTGAATTACATTTTCTCTAATTAGCTTTGTTTCAATTCCCGTAGCTTAACTTTTCTTATAAGGTTTTTATCACACTGTCTATTAGTTTACAGCAGTGATAAAAAAAAGAAACGTTTTAACAATGTTAAAACAGATATTTATTGTTACGAGCGCTTCAAGTTAGTGATTATAAAACTGTAATTAGATTTACGCAAGAGATACGTAAAATAAAAATCTAGTACTTGATTTAAATAATTTGAATGGAACTAAAGGAACTTATAATTATAATAATTATAATAAAATTATAATAAAATTATAATAATTATAATAATTATAATAATTATAATAATATAATCAGGGTTGCCACAGGTCAGGGAAAAGTCAGGGAAATCAGACAAAAATCAGGGATTTTTAGTAAAAGTACTGGAAACAATTTTTAGTTCTATTTCTAAACACAATGGATTTTTAAATATTTTTTAACTATTTCAAAAGTTTTAACGCAATTATCTTGATAAATAACAAAATTCTTCATAGAAATTCAATTATTTTTAGGAATTTTAATAAAAATCTTTGCAAAATTCAATTATTTTCATAAATAACAATATTCATCACAAGAATTCAATTATTTTCAAAAGTAATAAAATTCTTCGATGAAATTCAATTATTTTTAAAAATTTTAAATTCCTCGAAAAATGCAATTATTCATAAAAATTTTATTAAAACCTGACAAAAGAATTCAATTTTAAGAAACATTCAATTATTCAATAAAATAATAAAATTCTTTGCAAAAATTCAAATATTTTCATAAAAAACATATAATTCGTCGCAGAAAATCAATTATTTTCAAAAATTTTTAAGTAATTCTGCAAAAGAATTCAATTATCTTGATAAACAAGAAAATTCTTCACAAAAAGTCAATTATTTTAAGGAATTTTAATAAAATTCTTTTCCAAAATTCAATTATTTTGATAAATAACAAAATTCATCACGAGAATTCAATTCTTTTGAAAATTAATCAACTTCAAAAGGTTTTAATTTTAAATTTTACAAAATTTCAATTTTTAATGAATTTAATTAAAAATTATAATGAAGTTAGATTTTTCAAAAATTTTAATAACTTAAATTCTGAAATTAGTTTCATTTTTTAATATATATTCAATTAATTATTAAAAATAATACATTTATAGAAGAATTTTAATTAAAAATACTACAAAAAAATTAAATTTTAGAACAGTTACAAATGATTGGAGAAATTCAATTATTTTCAAAAGTAATAAAATTCTTCGCAGAAATTCAATTATGTTCAAAATTTTTTTAAATATCTAGTCAAAATTTCAAGTTTTTTAAAAATTATAAAAATTTCACAGTAATTCAATTATATTTACAATTTTTTATAAATTTTTTCTCGATAATTCAATTATTTTCATAAACAAAATTTTTTACATGGATTCAATCATTTTCATAAATAATAAAACTCATCGCAGAATTTCAAATATTTTTAATACAATTTTAATTTCAACTCTGTTGAAATTAGTTGAATTTTTAATAAGTATTTAATATTATTTCCAAAATTTTAACGCAATTTTTCGAAAGAAATCAATTATCTTGATAAATATCAAAATTCTTCCCAAAAATTTAATTGTTTTTAAGAATTTTAATAAAATTCTTTGCAAAATTTAATTATTTTTATGAATGACAATATTAATCACGAGAATAAAATTATTTTCAAGAGTAATAAAATTCTTTTCAGAAATTCAATTAATTTCAAAAATTAAAAAAAATTCTCGTCATGATTTCAATTATCTTTATAAACAGCAAAATTCTTCGCTGAAATTCAATTATTTAAAGAAATTTCAATAAAATTCTACGCAAACATTTAATTATTTTCATAAATAATAAAAATTTCTCAGGATTTCAATTATTTACAATTTTTTTTTTAATTTCTTCGCAGTAATTGAATTATTTTTATAAATAATAAAACTGTTCTCAGAAATTTAATTGTTTTCATAAATAATAAAATTCACAGCAGGATTTTAATTATTTTTGATACAATTTTAATCAAATTCCTCGAAAAAAGTAATTATTCTTAAAAATTTTATTAAAATTCGTTAGAAGAATTCAATTATTAAAAAATTTGTCGATAAAATTCTTTATGAGAATTCAATTTTAACAAACATTCAATTATTCAATAAATTATTTTATTTTGAAATTAAATAATTGAATTTTCGTAGAATTTTCTACTAAAAGTTAATTTAAAAATGTATTTCGAAATAATCGATTTATTATTTATGAAAATAATTGAATTCTTGCATCGAATTTTATTATATATTTTTCAAATAATTCAATTCTTTTGAGAAATTTTTCTACTTGTAAAAATAATTGAATTCTTGTGAAGGATTTTATTAAGATTTTTGTAAATAATTAAATTTTTTTTTCAAGTTTTATGGTAATTTAAATTATTATATTAATAATTTTGATAAGTTGTTAATTTCAACAGGTTTGAATTAAATTTTTTTTTAAATCTTAATTCCTATGGAAAAATAATAATGATTAAATATTTATTTTTAATTAAATTATTGATGCTTTCAAATAATTTTACTATTAAACAAAATTTGTAAATAAATGTAATAGAATTTTGAGTATCTAATAATTTTTAGAGTGAATCAGAATATTCTTTCGGGTCAGGAAAGAAGTCAAAATTTTGTCTGGAAATCAGGGAAAAGTCTTGGAAAAACAAAATTAAATATTTGTGGCAACCCTGATAATATATAATAATTATAATAACTTACTAATTATAATCATAATAATTAAATAATTATAATCGTTATTCTGATGTTTTGTTTTATAATTCGATTTTGTGGTTCCTTTTTTGAAATTTTGCTTTTTAAATAAATTTCCAATTTTTTCGTTTTCAATTTTCACTCAACTTTCCATTTTCTTTCTGTAATACCTTTTCTTTATCCCCTTGAGATTTTTTTAAATAGCATCAATTACAAAGAAACCCTCAAACACGGTGACGTCATGTGCGAGTTACTAAAGTGATGTTAAACCAATCGTGACTAAATTCTCTGACCTCAGATCGATCTCGAGGACACACACCGTGGACACTGAATACTCTTTTTTTTAAATTTCTCGTAGGTTTTTATTCGCACTTTTCAAATTAAACTCATAATTATTTTCTGAAATTATTCTCAACTTTTCCAAAGTCGAATTTTTTCATATAGAAAAAAAAACAGTAGATTTTAAGATGAGATAATTTTATTTTTTAAGGGTTACTTAATTACTAAAAATTTAATTTGAATTTAATTTTAATAATACTATAAATTGATTTAATTTTCTGTTTCAGACAGCAATTTTGTGTTGGGAAATGCGCAGGTTCCGACGATCTACCCGATTGTTTATTGTTCCGATGGATTTTGTGAGCTGACAGGATTTGCGCGAGCGCAAATCATGCAAAAGAGTTGCGCTTGCAAATTTCTTTATGGCCCGGAAACGAAGGAAGAAGAAAAGGCGATGATCGACAAAAGCCTCGAGAGTAAGACCGAGTTGAAGATGGAGGTTACCTTTTACAAAAAGAGCGGTGAGTAAATTAAAACTTTTACACTTGCGGTAAATTTTTACAAATTTTTAAAAGTACGAGAAAATCAAACCATGAATTTTGTTTTGCTTAAAAAAATTCAGGAAATTTTTATTAACGGTGATTCAGCTTAATATTATAATTTTACTGAACAAATATAAATCAAAACAAAGAAAAATAATGACTATAGTCATTATTTTTGTTTGTTTTGATTTATATTTGTTTAGTAATTATTTTATTCTATAGAATAAAATTATACTTAAATTTATAGTTTAATTTACTTACAGTTGTACTTTAATTTATTTAAATTTCTACTTTAAAGATAATTTTAAATTCAGTAGAAAATTAATTAGTCAAATATATATTGTATATAGAAATAAAGTCCAGTAGATGTATCGAATTTGACTTCCATAGAACTTGGCTGATCGAAATTGCTTTTACTACTGTCAATTCGAATTTCACGCACTATCTACATGCTACTGCATATGAGCAATAGACACAAATGAAACTCTGGTTTGGTTTGCAATTTACTCTAATTTCTCGTTTGCAAATTACTAGTGGTTACCGATATATTCGTAATTAATAAAAATTCAATTTCTTGTTATTTTTCTCTAAATAAATCACTAGAAAAATAAATTTTACTTAACAGAAGAAGAAATTTTAATGTTTCAACAAAAACAAACTCTCATTCTTTTATTTGTTTTATTTAAATAATTTTTTTGATCTAAAACAAATTCTACTAGATCATAATAAATTTAATGATTTTGCCATTCACTAAAGCGTATAATTATGTAAATAACCGGACGATTTAAATATGTTTTGTGAAAAGATATACATTGTCTTTTAAAATCAATTTGAAATTCAAGGAAGAAAATCTTGAGATGATATAGTTTAGCATCGATTTTCGTCAGCTTTTCTTGACTTCACTTTTTTATTATTCAAAGTCTTCTTGGAAAGATGTGAGAGCTTTTGATGTCAGAATAGCAGAAAAAAAATATTAACATGTAGAGTTTGTTTTTAAAGTCTACAAACAAAGTTTGAATTTTATTAAAGATTCTCAGGGATTTTTTTCATGAAACAATAGAAAATTTGCTCTCTTAATTTTGTTTACAAACACCAGCCAAGGAGGAAAGTGAGCTCTCATTAAGCAATTAGTTTTCGACCTCATCCTCATAAATTTCGAGTGATAACAAAAGAAAATTGTGGGCCTTTTGAATATTCTTTGTGAGACAATTTTATTTACAAGATTTTGATTTCATTCAATTTTGAACCTTGTCTCCTAAAATAGAAAAAAAAGGATTTGTAATTAACACAATCTACTTTATATTAAATGGTTTTATATTTTTTGTGCCTAAAATTAGTTTTACAAATTTTTAGTTAAACAAGTTGTTTAGTTTATGATCATTTAACTTCCTCAATATAATATATACCAATTGTATAATTTTTTATTTTAGAATAATTATTTAAAAGTGTTACGATAAAATTTCAAAAAATACAAAATTTCAATTTTTTGTGAAAAATGAAAATATTTAATTATTCTATAAATATTGATAAATTATACACTTTATAGAATCGATTCGTTATTATGTCAGGAATGCAATTTTGACAAGAATTAATGAAAATTTTAATACAGAAAAATGTTATTTAAAAAAATACAAAAATTAAAAAATTGTTAATTCTCTATTCTTTAGGATTGTGTAGGGCTTAGTCCCTACAAGAACTCTGGTAATTTTCAGATGAAATGAATTATTAAATTTGGAAGAAATAAATTTTTATTTTCGTTTTTACCAAATTTTGATTGTCTGATGGCGTACGGGTGGACCTGCTACTACTTAAAAATTGAAATAAAATTCTCTATTCTTCAGGATTGTGTAGGGCTCAATCCCTACTAGAACTCTGGTAATTTTCAGATGAATTCAATTATTAAATTTGGAAGAAATAAATTTTTATTTTCGTTTTTACCAAATTTTGATTGTCTGATGGCGTACGGGTGGACCTGCTACTACTTAAAAATTGAAATAAAATTCTCTATTCTTCAGGATTGTGTAGGTCTCAATCCCTACTAGAACTCTGGTAATTTTCAGATGATTAGAATTGTTAAATTTGGAAGAAATAAATTTTAATTTTCGTTTTTACCAAATTTTAATTGTCTGATGACGTTCGGGTGAGGGTGCTACTACTTAAAAATTGAAATAAAATTCTAAATTCTTCAGGATTGTGTAGGGCTCAATCCCTACTAGAACTCTGGTCATTTTCAGATGAATTGAATTATTAAATTTGGAAGAAATAATTTTTTATTTTCGTTTTTACCAAATTTTAATTGTCTGATGACGTTCGGGTGAGGGTGCTACTAGTTAAAAATTGTAGTAAAATTTTAAATTCTTCAGGATTGTGTAGGGCTCAATCCCTACTAGAACTCTGGTAATTTTCAGATGAATTGAATTATTAAATTTGGAAGAAATAATTTTTTATTTTCGTTTTTACCAAATTTTAATTGTCTGATGACGTTCGGGTGAGGGTGCTACTAGTTAAAAATTGAAGTAAAATTTTAAATTCTTCAGGATTGTGTAGAGCTCAATCCCTACTAGAACTCTGGTAATTTTCAGATGAATTGAATTATTAAATTTGGAAGAAATAAATTTTTATTTTCGTTTTTACCAAATTTTGATTGTCTGATGGCGTACGGGTGGACCTGCTACTACTTAAAAATTGAAATGAAATTCTAAATTCTTCAGGATTGTGTAGGGCTCAATCCCTACTAGAACTCTGGTAATTTTCAGATGATTAGAATTGTTAAATTTGGAAGAAATAATTTTTTATTTTCGTTTTTACCAAATTTTAATTGTCTGATGACGTTCGGGTGAGGGTGCTACTACTTAAAAATTGGAATAAAATTCTCTATTCTTCAGGATTGTGTAGGGCTCGATCCCTACTAGAACTCTGGTAATTTTCAGATGATTAGAATTATTAAATTTGGAAGAAATAATTTTTTATTTTCGTTTTTACCAAATTTTAATTGTCTGATGACGTTCGGGTGAGGGTGCTACTACTTAAAAATTGAAATAAAATTCTCTATTCTTCAGGATTGTGTAGGGCTCAATCCCTACTAGAACTCTGGTAATTTTCAGATGAAATGAATTATTAAATTTGGAAGAAATAAATTTTTATTTTCGTTTTTATCAAATTTTAATTGTCTGATGACGTTCGGGTGAGGGTTCTACTAGTTAAAAATTGAAGTAAAATTTTAAATTCTTCAGGATTGTGTAGGGCTCAATCCCTACTAGAACTCTGGTAATTTTCAGATGAATTGAATTATTAAATTTGGAAGAATAATTTTTATTTTCGTTTTTACCAAATTTTAATTGTCTGATGACGTTCGGGTGAGGGTGCTACTACTTAAAAATTGGAATAAATTCTCTATTCTTCAGGATTGTGTAGGGCTCAATCCCTACTAGAACTCTGGTAATTTTCAGATGAATTGAATTATTAAATTTGGAAGAAATAATTTTTTATTTTCGTTTTTACCAAATTTAATTGTCTGATGACGTTCGGGTGAGGGTGCTACTACTTAAAAATTGGAATAAAATTCTCTATTCTTCAGGATTGTGGTAGGGCTCAATCCCTACTAGAACTCTGGTAATTTTCAGATGAATTGAATTATTAAATTTGGAAGAAATAATTTTTTTATTTTCGTTTTTATACCAAATTTTAATTGTCTGATGACGTTCGGGTGAGGGTGCTACTAGTTAAAATTGAAGTAAAATTTTAAAATTCTTCAGGATTGTTAGGGCTCAATCCCTACTAGAACTCTGGTAATTTTTAGATGAATTGAATTATTAAATTTGGAAGAAATAAATTTTATTTCGTTTTTATACCAAATTTGATTGTCTGATGGCGTACGGGTGGACCTGCTACTACTTAAAAATTGAAATAAAATTCTCTATTCTTCAGGATTGTGTAGGGCTCGATCCCTACTAGAACTCTGGTAATTTTCAGATGATTAGAATTGTTAAATTTGGAAGAAATAAATTTAATTTTCGTTTTTACCAAATTTTAATTGTCTGATGACGTTCGGGTGAGGGTGCTACTACTTAAAAATTGAAATAAAATTCTCTATTCTTCAGGATTGTGTAGGGCTCAATCCCTACTAGAACTCTGGTAATTTTCAGATGAAATGAATTATTAAATTTGGAAGAAATAAATTTTATTTTCGTTTTTATCAAATTTTAATTGTCTGATGACGTTCGGGTGAGGGTGCTACTAGTTAAAAAATTGAAGTAAAATTTTAAATTCTTCAGGATTGTGTAGGGCTCAATCCCTACTAGAACTCTGGTAATTTTCAGATGAATTGAATTATTAAATTTGGAAGAAATAATTTTTATTTTCGTTTTTTAACCAAATTTTAATTGTCTGATGACGTTCGGGTGAGGGTGCTACTACTTAAAAATTAAAATAAAATTCTCTATTCTTCAGGATTGTGTAGGGCTCAATCCCTACTAGAACTCTGGTAATTTTCAGATGAATGAATTATTAAATTGGAAGAAATAAATTTTTATTTTCGTTTTTATCAAATTTTAATTGTCTGATGACGTTCGGGTGAGGGTGCTACTAGTTAAAAATTGAAGTAAAATTTTAATTCATCAGGATTGTGTAGGGCTCAATCCCTACTAGAACTCTGGTAATTTTCAGATGATTAGAATTATTAAATTTGGAAGAAATAAATTTTTATTTTCGTTTTTACCAAATTATGATTGTCTGATGGCGTACGGGTGGACCTGCTACTACTTAAAAATTGAAATAAAATTCTAAATTTTTCAGGATTGTGTAGGGCTCAATCCCTACTAGAACTCTGGTAATTTTCAGATGATTAGAATTGTTAAATTTGGAAGAAATAAATTTTAATTTTCGTTTTTACCAAATTTTAATTGTCTGAAATGACGTTCGGGTGAGGGTGCTACTAGTTAAAAAATTGAAGTAAAATTTTAAATTCTTCAGGATTGTGT